GATAATTTAGAATAATATATATATATATTTATTTATATATTAGCATTTAATAAATAACAGGTTAAAGAAATAATAATGATAGTGATAAGATCGTAATCCGAGATATTTTAGGATAATCCATATAAAATCCTGCTAAATATCAACCTTAGAAACAATTAATTCAACATATGGATCAGGTTTAGTAAAATTGCCAACCCTTTTCTTAACCTCAAATCCTTCAACGGGTCGAAAAATGAAATTTCTAAATAATATGCCTAATAATATTTTAAACTCATTTAAAGCTATTTTGTTACCTATACAAGATCTAACACCAGTGCCGAAAGGCAAATAATTGTAATTTGTTACATCTTTAATTAATGAAGGATTTAACCATCTTTTGGGATCAAAAGTTTCCGCTGTTGGTCCCCAAATCGAAGGCAATCTCTGAAGCGTTACAATTGGAATATCAATTGTAGAACCCTAATAATTAAAAGGTAAAAATTTTAGAAAAGTACTTCCTTAACCTATCATCAATAACAATAGAACATTAAAATATTAACATACTTTTGGAATAAAATGCTCGCCAAAAAACATATCTTTGAGATTAGAACGTTGAAGAAAAGAACCTAAAATAAAACTTAATCGTTAATTAAAGCTTCTATGAAATCTGTAACTTTTTAAAAATTTACCGGCAGGACATAATCTTAACGTTTCTTTAACTACGCAATTAAGGAATTCCAAAGAATTAATTTCGTCATAGGTGGGATTAAATTTTGATTTATCGGGAATAGCTCCAACCAACTCTTCACGTAACCTATCCTGCACATCTGGATGCTTTGCAAGTAGGTGTAAAGCCCAAGCTGTTGAATTACTCGTAGTTTCATGTCCTCCTAATAAAAACGTCATGATCTAAATATCAAAAAATAAATAAATAAATTTGATTAATTACGACATAAATTTTTATTTGCGAAAAAATTTTAATCACCTGATATTTAAGTTCTTCATCGCGCATTTTTTTTTCATCAGGCAAAGTTTTGTTGATTTTAATTAATGCAGACAATAAATCATTTCCATCCAATTTGTTATTTCTGTTATCACGGTATTTTTCTTCAAGCAACCTTCTTGATTCGCGTTCAATAACTTTACATGCATTATTAAATCTTTTGTTTGTATTTATTGGAATTTTTCTAACATATGGAAAATATGCAGATAAAATACTCATACAAATAGATAGAGTAGTTAATTGAACGCCAAATAATGACATATAAGCGTCTGCTAATTCACTTGGCGACGTTAATGAATTAAATTCATGATTAAATCCTAATAAAAAAGATTTTTTAATGAAAGAAATTTATAAGCTGCATATATACAAAACCATTTCTCTCTCACCAACTAAGCCAATGACATCTAAAGTAGTTTTGGAGAGATAGGGTGAAAGATTTATTTTTTTTTCTCCTTTATTTACTTCATCATCTATCAAACTTTTTAATAAAGAAGCTTTTCGAACGAATGTTGGAATCATATTCTAATTTTGCAATATAAGAAAACTTAATTATTTTATTTAATTGCATATATTGCAAAGACTTACGTACTTTAATGGTATTATGATTGAAAGCAGGATTCATCATTTTTCTCTGTTTCTTGTGCATTTCTCCTTCAACAGTGGCAACACCTCGACCAAGAATAGGCTCAAAATCTCCTCTCAGAGCTTTAGGTTTAACAAAATCGTATCCATGATTTAAAACAATATCTTTGATTATTTTTGCATCTGTAACTACAATATATGGTTCATTTAGTAACCCGTGATATTTTATAAAATTCCCGTATTGTTTTACCCATCTTGTATGTGGTTCACCGGACTAAGAAAATAATTTAAAATAAAAAAATTTTAATGTATCGTGACTATGACGTAATTGGTATAATAAAAATGACCAACCTCTTCTAAGAAAATCCTATTAAGACTTCCGTAAAGAAAACTTTCAGAAGTCGGACCAGGAATTTTTCTCAAAGGAGAAATATAATATGGATATATATATACTTTATAAGTAAACCAACTTATAACCCCTAAAGCGAAATAACTAACTAAAGAACTCAATTCGAGCATTTTTCTTTTTTTTTTTTTGTTGTGTAAAAGTGCGATCAAGAATTAAAAAAAAAACCATATATATAAAGATTTAAATCTCATTTGTATGAAAAATTGTGAACTAAAATGAATCAATAGATCAATAAAGGCAAGTTTATTGTAGTTATCTTCGTGAAAATCAAAGGTTCCGCCGTAATACCGGAAACATGTGTCAATCATTTTTGTCACTATAATAATGGATCGATTGATTATTACTTAACTACAAGAATAATTTTCACGCGAGCTGAATATGTGTAATAGTTATTTCACGGGAATCCCATTACTTATCAAGGCGTAGCCGTGACGAGGATGATCCGTGAAATAACTATTTTATCTCAGGGAATTTCTAATTATAAGCTCAAATAAACTCAACCCATTTCGTTCAACGGCGTTAATTAGGATAATTATTTCCTATTTTGTATCGACCGATTCTTATTCAATTATCTATTTTTTTCGTCGTCCCGTTATCGTTTCCAAGATACTCGTCAGCTTAATACATACACCAAACATTAACCCAATATAGCATTCGGCGATTTGCTTCGACTGCGGTTATGAACACGAAAAAGGAAATTAAATAAATATTACTAATTAAATAGATGATGTTATTATGACATAGCAAATCGCTATTATGAGAAACTATATATTATTATTTTTTTTTTTTTTACATTTTTACGATCTGCATCGCAAGTTCGTCTACCTCATCGGAAAATGTGAGGCATGTCAGTAATCTGTACCAGGTTTGTGGCGCAGTTCATAATTAAATGTGGCTGGTGCTAAGATGAAATATTTACCCCTAATATCGCCATAAATTTATAAGTAAAATTTTCATCCCCATACCCTCTTTAGTTCTATGGGGATTTAGCAAAAAATTGTAGTCATCATTAAAAATTATTTTTAGTTTTACTTTCTTTACTAAAAGATTGGTCTCGAAAATTATTAACTTAACTTCTTTTGTAATTTGAATCTTTTCTGTTAGTTCACATATATACTTTTTATTTCTGTTGAGATTCTCTTTTTTTTCTTTTTGTTTATATATTTTTCTCTCTCCGCTTTCTTTTATTTTTATCTTTGATATTTACGGGTATTTCAGCTCTCCATTTCTTTAAAGTAACAAAAAAAAATTTTTATTTTCATTTCTTTATTGTCTGCAAACAGCTTTTTTTCCTCTTTTTTTTAAAAAAAAACCAAAATAAAAAAAAATCAAGTTTCAGGAAAATTTTTTTCATTTATAAAAAAAAAACAGTTGGCTTTTCATGGTTATATTTTGTAAAGAAAAAAAAAAAAAAAAAAAAAAAAAATCTTCAAAAGATTCTTTTTTATTTTCGCAACATGAAAGAAGATTAATTACTTTTCGTGCAAAAAAGTTCTGGCATAACAGGTCTAAAAAAAAAATGAATTGATTTTAATGAATGAATGAATGATTTATTTGCAAGGTGAATTTTCACTGCATGATTTTTTTTTTTTTTTGAGTGATGGGATTAATTTGGTTTCTTGTTTACTTTCTTTTAGTAAATGAGATCCACAGAAAATAATTAAATAAACAATCAAATATATATTTCGCGACTGGCGATTTTTTTTATTATTTTTTTGTTAAGACCAGGTTGCTGCGCCATGGATTTATATTAACAAAAAAATAAACTGTGAAAATACGGGATGACCCTCTTTTTTCTTGAAAAGGAGTGATAAATAAGAAAAAAGAGATGCGAGTGATGTATAAATGATCTCATTAAATTTTATAAACTCCAGATCTGTTTAAATTTGATAATTAACAAATATAAAACCGGTTTCACCCGTTTTAAATTCGGTTTTCAAAAATGCAACCGGTTCCAAACTCTACTTATGGTTATTTCTTTTCTTTCTTTGACAAATTATATATGGTAGATTTTTATTATTCCATTTTAATAAATTATTTCTTTTTCACAGAATATGTTTACTATACCCTTAACTCTTTTTTTTTTCATTTCGATATTATAATATTTCCTTAACTCATTATTTCAAATTATATTATCCTTAATTGATTAGTTGGATCCCTTCAGTTTGAATCGAATTAGTTCAATAAGTTGATTCTTTAATCTCTTTCCAGTTTTTTCGGGTTACTGGAAATTGATCTTAATTTTTAGGTTGCGATTGGTATTGGCATTCTCATCGTGCAATCTGGGTATTAATAGCGAACAAGTACCATGTCTCTTTTAACAATATTTAGTTTTATGACAGACATCACAAAAATTATTATTATTTTTTTTTTTTTAACAAAAATAGATTCCTGAAACTCTACAATATCCTGCGAAAGTGACGTGGACAGTGTGCATAAAGGTGAGTTCGAATCAACAGCCTCATATTTCCTTATTTACATACTTGTTTAATTTTTTAGGATAAAGATAATAGGTTCGAAATCAAATTTGGTGTTTTCTTTTAGAAACATTACATCGCCTGTTCATTCTACCGGTGATTATACACAGATTTAATAAAATAGACTTTACTACTAAAATGACGTGCAAGTATAATTTTCACAATAATCTGTTCTGTAGAATTATAATCAGTGATATCCCATCCTCATTTTAAGGTACACACATCCAATTGTAAATAATATGATCGCGACGAGAATACTGGTTTCTTAATCTGGGATACTTCCATACGTTTCGGCTTTTCATCCAACAATAACATTTTTTACTTCTCTTTCACATACGTGACATGAATCAGATAGTTTTATATGTTAGACTATTGTTTGTGATATCATATTCGAAATTAATTAAATATAAAAATACTCGAAATATAATTATCACTAAAGTTTATTTATTATTCCTTCAATTTCACAATCATGGCCGTTATTAAATCATTATCGATTTTGTTTCTCTCAACTTTATATTTATCTATTGAATTTAAATGCAATACAATATTTTCACAATGATATAATTAAATTTGCTAAAGTCTTATAACCCATTAATAAAATATATTCGTTTGGAGCTTGAAGATTCTGCACATTATAAGGTGCTGTGCTCACATAATTACTGCGGTAAGATCGACAGATTTGATGACACAGTATAAAATTTATATAAAGTAAAATATACTACGGAAGACCACTTTAAAATTATCGCAATTTTTAAATTTAATAGCCAACTTTAATTTTTTAATTATAAAAAATTTTAATAAGT